CATTTGCATTAGTATACTAGTAGAATTCTACTAAATCAAGATATGATTCAGAAGGTGGTGGATCTGCTGGTTCCTCTGCATGCTGTGGTTGGTGTTGTTGCCACAAAGCTGTTTAGTGATCTTGTAAACTGTACCAAACTCTCTCTTCTCTTGCTGCTTCCTCTGCTTCGCTAGCCAGTTTCTTGATGAAGTTCCCCTTGTCCTTTCTTCCACACCGCTTCACTTCTCTGTCTTTGATCTTGTACTCCTGCTGTGTCCGTTAAATCTGCTTTGACGATTTAGCATTCAGCATCTTCTCCTTTGCCTCCCTCCTAGCTTCTATTCTGGCCCAAGTTTCAGCTGATAACCATTTCTTGGTCTTCTTTCTTAAAGCCGACAGCTTTCTTTGCAGCATCAGCATACGCTTCCTTGAATCGATTCCATGAGCACTCCACTGGATCCTGATCTGTTTCATCCTCAAGAGCGGCAAGTGCAGCAAACCTGTTCTTAAGTTCAATGCTGAAGTTTCTTCTGACCTCTTGCGATTTCAGTCGGTTGATGTCATACACTCTCCTGCGTTGTTTATTGGAGTCTACAGCCATAAGCTTTAACTTCATTTTTGCGAATAGCATGTTGTGATCACTGCTTACATCTGCACCCAGATATACTTTTACATCCAGAAGGGATCTCCTCCACTTCTTGTTGATTATTACGTGGTCGATCTGGTTGATTGTACGACCATCGGGGGATTTCCAGGACAGTTTTTGAATGTTCTTGTGGGGGAAGATTTTACTCCCTATTATACAGTTATTGTTCAAACAAAAATCAACCAACCTTTCTCCATTGTCATCAATACTGCCACAGCCATGCTTCCCCATAGCAGCTTCGCAGTTGCTGTTGTCCAAGCCAACTTTAGCATTAATATCTTCCATTATCAAAAGCAAGTCATGTTGAGGGACTCTGGATACTTCATACTGGAGCTGTTCATACCAGTCGTCTTTTACCTCGTCCTCAGCCTCGTTTGTAGGGGCACAACATTGTAGTATAGTGGAATATTTGGAATGGAACCTTGCTCTGATGATTCTGTCGCTGACAGGCTCCCATTCAATAAGGGTCTTTTCTGTGCTTCTGTTGATGATAAGCTCAACACCATTTGCATGTGTAATTTCTTTCCCGGAAAACAAAATTGTGAAGCCATCTCATCTTCATGCGCCAGTCCATCTACATTCACTAACACCAAGGATGTCCAGGTCATATCTTTCCATCTCCTTCGCAACCTGTGCCGTCTTACCAGTTTCAAAAATTGTGCGGACGTTCCGTGATGGAAGTCATATCATCGTTTTGGGCCCAAGAAAACTCCTCCTTGAGCTCATAGCTTCCCGTGATGGGTTTTCACTAGGAGTCGTCATACTGCCTAGCTCTGTAGCTTGGCTTGAAATTTCCATAGGACCCTGCGGATTTGAATTCATAGTTTCGGTTTCCGTAACTAGATAGTTTTTACGGGGTGGAGTTGTTGACCCCACGCCCAACCCCTAACCTGGAGGGCCAGTGGTTTCTGTAGAGGTTTTCCTGACAGAGACTGACAAAGGAGGCGTAAATTGAAACCAGGGTTGTGATTGGTTTATTTAAATTACAACTTTGAATGTGATTGGTTGATTTAAAGAACAACTTTGAATGTGATTGGCTTATTGTACTGTCCGATAACAAACTGTCTGATGACAATTTGGCAAGTTAATTAGTAGAAAATAGGAGCTTTTTAAGCCAATCACAATCGAGGAAATTGTAATTTTTATGATTAAGTGGTATAAGCTTTAGTCCTAGGTGTTATGCTAGAACAAGGACACCGCGCGTGTTAGGACTGGGTCCTTTTTCTTATCAATAACAGACGAAGTGAACTGTCTTTTTACTGTTACTTATTTTACTGCTTATCAGTTACGAGTTAGAAAAACATGAAGAAGGGAAAATTAGTGATAAGAATCATCATAATGCCATTGTCAGTGAAAATAATCTGCGAGTCCTGTTTATGAAGTCCGCTAAATTTGCATAATAAATGAGAAATTACGTTATATAAAAACTTTCGCATTGGTTTTTGATGTCTTATGAATAACATTATGTGCACGTTATCATTCAAAGTAATTGGACAAGGTTGAGAAAAATATCGTGAGTTGTCAATGGCGAGCAGATCAATTATTTGTCGAAGCCGAATGCTGAGGCAAATAATTGATCTACTAGACAATGACAAGTCACGACATTTTGCGATAACCGAGTTCAATAATTGTTTTACGGCATTCGATCACCAAGATTAAATCACTCTCTGACAGCTCAGGGAAGCAATATGCCACATTTTACACACGAGCGGAATAGTCTTAAAAGTCGATTTTGGCCAGTTCTTAATCGAACTAGACATGCAAAGGAACAACATCACGGGTTTGCATTTTAATTGACTCTTCATTAAATAAAATCAGACTGAGGTTACCGGTGATATTTACATCAAACAAGCGTTGATAATTTGCCAATAAAAGTTCTTGAGCAAGTATTAAAATTAGCCCAACTAACGTCGTTTTTGAGTTGATAATTCAAAAGAATTTTTTCTCTCAAACGAGACTAGTTGAGCAAATTAAAATCCGTACAAAAGAATTTTAAATTGCAGCTGTTCATGAATAGGCTCTCTATTTCCTTGTAGATGTGCTGTTATTTCAAGCTATCTGTATTGACTTGAGAGTAGTATAGTAAATGGGTGTACGAGCGCATCAGACCAAAAAACACCCTCTAACAGCCCCCGCAAACCAAAAAAATACCCTCGCCGGGTCTCAACTCGAATTTTAGTATTTTCAAGCACTTAAAAAGCACTTTTCATGTCAAGCCCTCTCGTGAGCAAATTTCATGTCTCCCACCCCTCCGGAAATCCAAAAAATCCTTCTGCCAGAAAACACTTCGCGGAGCCGGATCGTGACCAAAAAGTACTCTTGCCAGGCCTCTTGCCAGGCCTCTTGCCAGGCCTCTTGCCAGAAATAAAAAAAATCCTTCTGCCAGACACAGCATAACTTAGGCTGTCCCAGGCCTCCGCAAATCAAAAGATGGCTCACCAAGTGGCAAAACAGGGTTTTTAATGGACACTTAAAGAGAAATCAACATTAATACAATGGGAATAATGAGTATGAAAAATAGAAATTATGAATATAAATGATCCAACTATAATATAGAAGAGATGAATAAATTAAATTTGAATAAATTATCAAAGACTCAATTAATTGAGCAAATTAAAAAAAACTTGCAGCTGAAAACCAACAACTAAAAGTTATGGTTAAAAGCAAACCAAGTCCTAAACCAACTCAACCTCAAAGAGGTATTGTTAAAAGCGTTCCAAAACCCAAATTAACTCAAAAACAAAAACAAAAAAAACAGAAACAGAAAAGAACGAAGCTTTTTTGGCTAAAGAGTTTGAAAAATTAAAAAAGGCTACTGAGCAACAAATGGATAAATCAGTAGAAGATATTAAAAAGAAAAGTCAAGAGTTGGATGAAGAGAGTCGAAAATTAGAAGATAAGTATAAATCCCTGACTGAATTACCGATCACAGCTATCAATGAAGCTCTAAAAGATGCTGTTAAAACTTATGAGATTGATTTGAAAAATAAAAATGATCCGTTAATTTAATTGCAAACAACCAGGCAAGCAATTGAACACTATTTTAATGAATCTTACTTGAAAAATAATAAAAATTTTAAATTTTATGAGTCTTTGAAAGTGACTTTTGTCAAAGAAGTTTCTCATAATACAAAAAATGATGATGATGTTGAGGTTGAAATTGATATTACTGGTGGGAAGCATTAGGTTAAAAGGAAAACAGCTTATTTCAATAGTCAAGCTCAGATTGTCCTAAATATCATTGATTTAAATAAACGATTGAAAACAGCTCAAGAACAGATTTTCAAAAAAATTGGACAGTGGTTATCCGGGGGCAGCGGCTGGATAATCAATAAAATAATAACCATTATTTGAATATTGTCAAATATAAGCCAATGAAGGGCAAATCATATATCCAACTTCCGAAAGAGCTGAGAAATTCATTAAAGGGTTTGATAAGTATAAACAAATAAGAATAATGAATGTTTCAGATGGTGTCATATCAGACATTTGAATCTACAAAACAAGGATCAAGAAAGAGTTAAAATAATTGGGCAGTTTTGAAGTTAATAAAGTTTCGCTGTCTTGTTTTGATGATAAAAGATATCTTCATGATGATGGTATTAATTCTTATGCTTATGGTTACCGTTTGATTCAATAAAATCAGCAGTAACTTCAGCTGAAGTTTTTGGTTCATCAATCAATTCATTCTCCAATTTTGGAAAATCTTTGGTGACGTTCAAATTTCTTTGGTGCAGTCTAATGCTAAGGTGTCTGTATTTACCAGTCATCTTATAATTTTTGTTGTTTAAACAAACAGTACAGTACCATGGTGGATTATATTTCATTATTATTAGTGTAGATAATTTTTCATACATATTAGTTGAACAATAACCTTTTCAATTTCTTCCGAAATGATTCTTTTTTGAAAATAAAGTAGAACCTTTTATTCTGAAATTTACTTGATACAAATGAGTATACTTCGTACTTGTTCATACAACATTGACACATAATTTTATCTATTCTATTAATATGAGTGAATCATGGGAAACAAGTCAATCAAGCCAAAGTATAAGCCAATCGAACCAATCGAGTCAATCAAGTCAATCAAG